AAATTTTTACAAACTTAAGATTTATACTAGTGCATATAAATGCAATACAGTTGCCATTTCTTCACAACCTTTGCTACTTTTTAATAGCTTGAGATTCTGTTATCCAGTTTCATCTTTCAAGCACCATGTAGGCTGATAAGCCATTAAAAATGAAACCAAAATCTAAAGAAATATAACAATTACAGTTGAAAAAATGTGAAACATTTAGAGGTTGCATGCTGCAAATAAAATTTCTCATAAAACAACAATATGTTAAACAAAAAACAACTATAAAACAAATACGCGTATTGACAAAAGTAAAATAAATTAAGCAAATCAAACAGAATTGTAAAATTTATTAATGCAGACAAAAACCAAGTAGACTTATATTTCTTTGCAGAAATTTTCTAGAGTTTTAATTATAAGAGAACTTGTAAACATCGGTAATAAGCAGTCAGTTAATTATAACAACAACTGATGGTTTATATATTTTCAAAGTCTTCACATTATATAAAAAAACAACAAAACTGTTCAAGAGCGAGATTTTAAATCAGATAATATTTGCTTACTATAACAAACATTACTCCTGTTAAAAAAAATTGAGTACAACATTTACTACTTGATCTTTAGTCTACTCTGTTGCAAATACAAGTATTTTTTTTTTTTGCAGTTTTGAATTAAATTAGTCATTTAGCCAAGTGTTAGATAATTAGTTCCACATCCACTGAACAGCACATAAATTCTTGCCGAATAACGTTAAATTGACAGAAGAAACCTTTTTCTGGACAATAATGAGCTTCTCCAGGAGCGCAATAGCGATTTTCAATTACTGTTGGGCAAAATGGATCTGAATAAAAACAATGCCTGCATTAATGCGAATAAGTAATTTCAGTTTTTTCTTTCATTATTATTCCAAAATGTATTTCAAGTTTTTTAACTAGAAGCTTAAAAAGAAATATAAATAGAGCAGCATACAAAAGGTTACCTGCTGTTGAAGAGAAACTTAACACGGAACTGGCAGTGTTGCTACTGTATTCATCATAGTTATAAGCCAAATCATGTTTGAGTTCACAACATATTGATCTTTCCATAAAACCTCGTTGAGGTGATATACATTCTAAACCAGCTAAAAAAAAAAAAAAAATTGAGCAAAAAATTATTTTGCAAATTGAGCTGTTTTTTATTCTGATACCTACTGAAATTATTCTTAAATATCTCGTTTTATTTCTACACAAACTTTATTTAACTTTCTAAGTTGCCAAATATTCATTGACATGAAAATCAGCAGCTTTGCTTAGCTTCATCTCTAAGTACAATTACTGTTTATTCTGAACTACTGACGACATCATTTTGTCAATTGTCACAAAATTTAGTATTACTCATTCGATGTCAGCAATGTTTCTTAACAAAAAAAAAACTTCTGAAAAGCTATTGTGCTCAACATCCTTACTTACCGCTTATATAATACAGTCATACAGAAATGCAACAGAAACGTTATATGTATGGTTGATCCTCTCTCTAAATGTTTTTTTTCTTTTAACCTTCAATCATCTAATCGTTGAAGTTTGTGAGCATTTTATTCAATTGTTTTCATGTTTTCAAAATTTTGTTTTAGTATAAGCTAACTGCGCAACATCGATTTGCACCTTTACAACATTTTCAGGTTATTCTTCACCAACTACAAAATTTTGTTTATTTTTTATAGTTAGCAAGCAAAAGATTTTAATTCAACTTATACTGCTTTAAGTCGATATTATTTTCCATTCGGGGAATTAAAGCTTTTTTGGTCACATTACAATACTACAAGAAAAGGCAGTTTGAATACCACATAGCATGTATAAGTGCAAACACTGAACAGTTAGCTTTCACAAACGTTATCATGAAGAAACAAGAACAGCATTTCCCAATGAAAAATACAGATATACACATAAATTAAATTCTACTTAAGACTTCTATTATAATGGTAAATAAATTTTAAAAGAATAATCCAAAAAAAGAAAATTTGGCAATATAAGAAACTCTAACTTTACTAATAGACTAATACCAAAATATTATAATAGTTAATATTATAATAGTTTTTAAAAAAGCAGAAAATTTTAAAACGGTAAATTAGACCTTTCAACGTCGTTCTCATTATACAAAAAAAAAAATAAAAAAATAAAAAATAAAAAAAGATGAGAGGTATATAGAAAATAATAGCACTAAACAAAAAATTCTGTTTCAGTCAACAAAAATTACATTTGAATTGATATCTCTGACAAAAAACAATTTTACTTCAACGTAAGAACGGCTTTTATCATCACTTTATCTTTGAATAAAAAAGTAGAAAGAGACGGTACAACAAAGAAGAGGAAAAAAAAATGCTGTTTCAATGGTTTATTCAAAGAACTGCGCAGAAGATTTTCAATTGAAAATACTGATTAGAAGAAGTGGTTTATAAAAGTTAAGAAATATTTGTCATTGAGCAAACAGTTTTAATATGCAGCACTTTTTAGGAGCAAAGGCATTAGCAGAGTAGTTTACAAAAGCGATAAGCCAAATTTAGACTACATAGCTAAGTCATGCGCTTTCTGAAGCGCGTTACTTTTTGCCTACTTCTGTTCTGCTGACAGTCACTAAAACTGTGAATAAATTAGGCCTAATTTTGTAGCTAAATTTTTGGTTGCGGGTAAAGATTTAATCTCAGTTAATAAAAATAAAGTAGCTTTAAAGAATCTTTGTTCAGCATTCTCAATTTGTTTTCTTAACTGCAGAAATACATCAGTTGAAGCAGCAGAGATTTCAAAAAAAAAAAAAAAAAAAAAAAAAAAAAA